AACTGTTTTAAATATTGATGATAATAATAATAATAATAAAAAATATTGAGCTGCATATTAGAATGATTTCTGAAGATCATATGACACTGAAGACTGGAGTAATGATGCTGAAAATACAGCTGCACATCACAGGAATACATTACATTTTAAAACATATTCAAATAGAACGCAGTTATATTAAATAGGAAAACTATTTCACAATATTAGAAATAAATTACAGTTTAACAGATATTCACATAGAAAACAGCTGTTTTAAATAGTAAAAATATTTCACAATTTTACTGCTTTTGCTGTATTTAGAATCAAATAAATGCAGGCTTGGTGAGCAGAAGAGACTTCTTTAAAAAACACTAAAATGTTACTGTTCAGAAGCTTTTGACTGGTCGTGTATGATGCCATATTTCATTTCCAGGGAGAGTCATCATATACAGGGTGGTTTGAAATGGTCCAAAGCCAGTTTTATATTAAATACGTTCTGACCTTCTGGGTGTTGCTTTTTCTTCTCGCGCTGCATAGTAGGGCTATTCATGGAGTTTTATCTTAAACGCTTCTTGTCTGTAATCTGACAGCTCACCCTCTGAAATACATTCGACTACCTGAGAGGACCTTTTGTGCAACACTGGCCGAGCAAGAACTAAACTCAGAGCGTCTCTCAGCCTGCTGTACTTCACACCTCACAGAAGAAAGAGCACAGCATTGTTACCCGAGCCAAGCTCTCTGTTCTCTGCCGCTGAACATCTGAGAGTCCTGAGTCTTATCATTTCTCTAGACTAATGCAACCTTCCTTACCTCAGCATTTGGGATTTTATTTCATCATTTTCTTCTAGTTTGCAAATATATTGTCATATGACGTAAAAACACAGTATATGAAACATATATGTATATCTAGCCCATACATACATATACGTGTGTGTGTGTGTGTGTGTGTGTATAAAGCATATTTGGACATACCCATCCAAAAAACCTGTCAATTATACAGGTATTGTCGATTATATATATGAGTACATGAGTTTGGACGTTTTAGAGAAATGCTTAATTAATAACAATTGAATTAAACCCGACTAAATCAGTCGACTAAAACTAAAGCAATTCAGTTGCCTGAAATATGACTAAAACTAAATGCCATTTTAGTCAAAAGGCTATGACTAAAACTGAATCTGTCAAAATGAACGCTTTCTCATAATTATAAAAGTGATAAATGATTAAATGCAAGTGATGTGAGGTTTTAGTTTTTAAAACATGTAAATAACTGGATGTTTTGAACAGTTACACTCTTAAAAATAAAGCTGCTTAAAAGGTTGTTCACAGCGATGCCATAGAAAAACCATTTTTTGGTTTCACAAAGAACCATTCAGTCAAAGAACCATCTCTTTCTTAGCTTTTAATAATCTGAAGAACCTTCTTTCGCCACAAAGAAGCTTTTGTGAGACAGAAAGGTTCTTCAGATGTTAAAGGTTCTTTATGGAACCATTTAGACAAAACGGTTCTTCCGTGGCATCACTGTGAAGCAGCTTTGTTTGTAAGAGTGTAGCTGTGAAGCTGGAGCGTGGAGCGTGGTTTGCTGGAGTTTGGGACAGCTGTGTACCTGCTGTGTTTGTGGGTGGTGTGAAGTGACGAGCGGACGCTGAAGGTTAACAATGGAGCTCATCTGCAGACAAAACAAACACGCTGGACCTTCACTGCTCATGTGTGCATGGACAAGACCAAACCAAAGCTCTTGCTTCTGTTTTTCAGTGCCATTTCATCAACTTTCTATAGACATCCACGGTTTTACAACACAAAAATATACTTTTAATCAGCACTTTTGTCTTGTTTACCAGTAAAATGTTAACCTCAGTTATTATAGGTAACTAAAACAAAAAAAAAAACGTAACAAAAATGCTTGAAATAAAATAAACGTTAACTGAAATCAAATCACAAAAAAAACTGAAATAAAATAAATATAATAAAATAAAATTAATGCAAAACAAAAAATGACTAAAAATGTTAAAATGGAAAATATAAAAATTAAAATATATATAAGAAAACTAAATCTATGATAGTATTACAATCATACTAAAATAACACTGATGTAACCATACTTAAAACAAGATAAATTGTGTAAGATATTAAGACTTATTTTTCACATAATACCTTAAATTAAATGAATATTTATTAGGAATTTAATTTATTAATTTCAATGAACTGTGAGCACAACCATACTTTAAAGTTCATTATTCACTTTATTCACAAAGAAGAACCTTTTTGTCTAAATGGTTCCATAAAGAACCTTTAACATCTGAAGAACCGTTCTGTTTCACAAAAGCTTATTATAAAATAAGATTTTTATATACAAAAGATTATAAAAAGCTAAGAAAGAGATGGTTCTTTGACTGAATGGTTCTTTGTGGAACCAAAAATGGTTCTTCTATGGCATCGCTGTGAACAACCTTTTAAGCACCTTTATTTTGAAGGGTTCCCCTTCTGCAGAGTTTGTGTTATTCATGAATAAATCTCCCAGTATTGTTTCTCTGTATCTGCACTCTCGTTATGGTTTCTTATAAATGTGATGACTCGGGCTATGTTTGCTTTACACTCACTGTCCACTTTATTAGGTACACCTTGCTAGTACCGGGTTGGACCCCCTTTTGCCTTCAGAACTGCCTTAATTCTTCGTGGCATAGATTCAACAAGGTGTTGGAAACATTCCTCAGAGATTTTGGTCCATATTGACATGATAGCATCACGCAGTTGCTGCAGATTTGTCGGCTGCACATCCATGATCCACGTTCAAAGTCACTTAAATCCCCTTTCTTCCCCATTCTGATGCTCGGTTTGAACTTCAGCAAGTCGTCTTCACCACATCTAGATGCTTAAATGCATTGAGTTGCTGCCATGTGATTGGCTGATTAGCAATTTGTGAAAGTAGCAAGAATTGTTATAAAGTGTTATCATTTATTTTTATTTCCGTTTTAGTTATTGTAGCAAAAAGCTGAAATACAAAGCTTATTATATTTCATTTAAATTCAGTTAGTGCTTATTATGTTTCAAGTAATGTATTTTTTATTATTATTATTAATACCCCCAGCTGAAACAGATAAGCTCTTAGCGATGTGCCAAACTGAGGCTTTTCAGTCCAAGTGTAAACAGAGCTGTGTGTGTGAATCAGCGAGGGAACATGGTTTTGATGCAGACGCACCTCTCTATTCCTGCCTGTGGTTTTTCTGTCCTCTCAAACGCTCATAAATTCCCCAGCATCAATGAACTGACACATTTATGCTCGACATTAATGTTTAGTTCTAATATAAAATTTGGTATTTTTGAGTATATTTTTGTGAACTTTGGTGTTATTTCAATGTCAACATCAATGTTATTTAGGTTGGGTGTAAAAGTCTTTGCCACGAATGCTGGGAAATTTAATTCCCACAGCTAACCAAATTAAACGCTTATGCCAGATCCCAGCATGGATTCATATTTTCATTCACCACGCTTGACATTAGAACCGCGCCCTGCGAACAAAATACAGCGAAACAATTTACACGAAACCAGTCAATGCTTTCTAAATGTCTTTGTGCGTTATAAAGGTATCCATAAAGCCTGCAGTGTGTAATTCGCTATTTTTCATTAACAATTGAAACCACAGTTATAAAACATTTTTTACGTGGCTTAATACTTGATTCTGATTGGACAGTCTCAGCATTCAGTCTACGTTACTTAAATATTTATATGCATAATATGCATATTTTGAAATAAATGCAAAATATATTTTTTCTACACTGCTAAATAAATAATAATAATAATAACAATAACAATAGTAATACATAGAATAAAACAAAATTCAATTTAATTCAGTTATTAAAGAAAAAAACTGTTGTTTTTACATAAAAAACAAAAACAACAACAAAAAAATGGCAGAATAATTCTGTAAAAAGACAGCAAAAATGTTTACAAAACAATCTGTAATTTTTACAGTTAAAAACTGTAATTTACAAAAAAAATAAATAAAAATAAAATACATTTTAAACACAGGGAATTCTGGGAATGTCCAGAATTTGGCTTTTCACTGTAAACTGATGACTTGTTCTTTTTCACTTCCACAAACTTTACTTTTACCAGTATTTTACTGTAAAATTACATGAAATGTCTCATTAGATCTATTACAGTTTTTATACATTAAGGGACATCTTTAACAATTTTTAAATCAATTATTTGATATTTTTACATAATTTTTAATTTGATTATGTCATTTGCATCATGGGATTTTTCATGCACCATATGATTTCTTATACTTCTTGACTTTTGGGGTGAAATGTCATTTTTCATGAGGTTCATCCAGTCTTTTGTAGTCATTGAAAGGCATTATGATCATTAAAATCAAATACTTCTTTCATGGGATCTTGAGATGATCGTTCAAGTGTCGAATCCCTTTGGTTTCTGTTGCCGGAGACGGCGTTTTTCTTGCGCTCAGGTTTAGTCCATGAGGGAATGGAGAAGAGGTTGCACTCTACAGTTAAAACAGTTTATTTTATTTTATTTTATTCCCTCTGTCCATTCATTCTCCATCAGCAAATTATTTTGATATTTATAATTTACAAAAACGAATACATTTCCCTGCATTAGATATCAAAATATCACACAAAGTGGCATCCGCAAAACAGCTCTTTTCAAGCTATGCTGCAAATCCTTTTACATTCAATTCCTTTATTTCACTTACTTGAAGCAGACAGTTAATTGAATGGTAAATGTCATATTTTGAACGCTCTTTGTGCTGGGCCTGACGTGACTGCAGTGATCTGAAGTGGATTTGCTGGAATGCTCTGTTTGACAGGATTCATGTTCGCTCACAAACCCCGAGCCCTGCGGCTGCATGCACCGAATCACAGTCCTTTAATGAATGAAGAGCGTTCTCTTTAATTACAGACTCTACTAGAACCAGCGTCTGATTTATGTGCTGTTATCACAGTCTGGAGACAGAAGACAAACACGCTCATCATTTTCTCCTGTTCTTCTTTATTTCACAGCATGTTTGTTCCGGTACAACTGGCTGTCCTTCGTCTACCTCATCTTCCTCTTACTCATCCCACTCTTCGCCGAGCCGACAAAGACAACGATGCAGGGTGAGTCTCTGAGACCCTTCAGCGGTGAATATTCCTCGTGTAATGACTTGCTTTCCATCTTTTCATGAGTAGACTGTATAAGTGTGTGATTTCTGCAGGACTGGAGCTGCTACAGTAATCCAAGCAGGTTCCCAAACACTTTTTTGAAGATATCATTTTCTTTTATTTGAAATGGTTACTGTTACACTTTGACAGAATATTTTCCCGACTCAGAACCGAGAAACAAGGTCTTACCTGCCGTAGATATTGTAGGATATTCTAGATATTCAGATCAGTGGCCAACAAATATAGGTTTAGAATTAAGTAAATTAAAATTAAATTTAGAACTTATACCAGTGTTACATGAACTAAAACTAAAACCATAAAAAAGACACGATCATTACAATAAATCTTAGCTGAAATAATATATATAAAAGCTTAAATTATTATATTTGTTTGTTATTACTTATTTTATTTCAGATAGTTGCCAAGTCAAAATTTATTTTTTTATGTAGTTTAAGCTGAAGTACTAAAATAGCCTAACTAAAACTAAATAAATGAACTCAAAACTGAAACTTAATAAAAAGCGATATACACATATAAAAATAAACAATACAAAATAAATAAATCAATCAATCACAAAACACATCAAAATGAAATTAAAATGAAAACAGTAAAATCTAATTTCAAATATTAACAAAATAGAATAGCAATGATACTAAAATAACACTAATTTATTCATACAGTTTAACTAGATAACTTCGTAAATTTTGATATCATCATTCAGTTTGGGCATTTTAATAAATAAATACATCGTTGATAAATTATAGATTAATAACACATGACCCTGCTCTTTTAAAACATTATTTATTTATTCATGTACAGTATCTGTGTATTTTTTATATTTACTATTATTATTATTATCATTAAGGTGGAAATGTTATAGCAAAACAGGGTTGAAGAACAGGTGCAAGGACAAAACAAAAAAAAAGTTATTTAAAACAATAACAACACATTTTGATTGTATGCCAACAAAAACAAAATTTGATTATTTGTGTATTTTTTTTACTGTATATAATCCGTTGAAATATAATGGTCATGAATAGATGGAAATTGGCTAAACAAACACTTAAAAATAAAATTACAATTTTATATTAAATTCTTCGAAATTTCACATTTTTTCCATTAATATGGTCAATGTGAGTAAACCTTTCAACAATAAATAATATATCAAAGTTGTATTCTTTTTATTATTTAAATGTGTATTAGGTCACTGGACACACACAGGAAGGCTCAGTTTCTTGGACAAATTGAACAAAATTTAATCTTGATATTTAATCTTGATAATCTCAATAAATGACACACTTCAAAGTGACAGTTCACATCATTGCTGTAGGAATTACAGTCGAATCTGAGTGATCAAGCAGCTCACTGAGAGTAATTACAGCTTTGAGGCCTCCGGCTGAATATCGTGAGTAATATACGGGGAGTTTGAGACATTTGTGTGTCATCCTGACACGGTCGAGCCTCGTGATTCCTCCAGAATGAGTCCCATATGATCTCAGCTCCACACGCTGTTATTAAGGTGTGTGTGTCTTTGGTTTTTATTCAGAAACATCTGTGCTGCTTCTTCAGCTGCTAGTTCTGTGAGTTCTGATGTTTAAAGAAGCTCTGCACTGCACTGAATGCTCACCGAGGGAGGAATGAGGCTCCGCTGATTTCCCAGCATTCCTCAGTGTGTCATCAGTTCATTAGTTCAGCTCTTACCTCATCAGATTCAACATGTGAGCCAAATATCTCTCTGATATCACACTTAGCACCTAGACTGATAGAGAATGGGGTTAAATGGAGACAAATTGAGATTTTTGTTCTCATGAGGAAAAGACCATAATGAATTAACACCAAGAGTCTGAAGAGTTTCATGAGAAATCTCAATAATGTCTCAAACTGAGCTCGGATTTAAACACACCAGATTTTATTCAAATTTTGATTTCAAAATCTTGAATGATCAAATTATATGAGCTGCAGTATGCAATTGACTTCAGTTTCAGAGCTCTTTTACTGTATGTCTGATCTGTATATCTGATTTCTTTGGTTTTTTTGATACACTACTGTTCAAAAGTTAGTGGTCGGTAAGATTTTTTTGTGGTTGGAAAGAAGTCTCTTCTGCTCATCTAGGTTGAATTTATTTGATAAAAAATACAGTAAAAACAGTAATGTTGTGAAATATTATTACAATGTAAAACAGCTGTTTTCTGTGTGAATACACTGTAAAATATAATGTATTTCTGTGATGCGCAGCTGTATTTTCAGCATCATTACTCCAGTCTTCAGTGTCACATGATCTTCAAAAACACTTCTGATTATTATCAATGTTGAAAACAGTTGTGCTGCACAATATTTTTTGTGGAAACCGTGATGCATTTTATTTCTCAGGATTCTTTGATTCATTTCGGCGGTTTGTTTTTTAGCCTTTCTCATGTTACTGCCTAATTTGGATGAATTGGTTATTACACTCGACATTAAAAGTTGTTTTGAATAAATGCATATGATTGTGAACTAAAGTTTATTAGCGATTTACAAAAAAGCGAAAAGGCCTTGACTAAATGTCCCATCCCAGAAAAATCAGGGAAAAATGTCCTGTCAAAACAGGAAAGGCAGCGGTTCTTTCGCAGGTCTTTAGGTCTCCTGAACTATGAAAGAGTGACCTGTGAGCAAGAAAAACTTCCTCTGGAAGGATGTTTCACTGCTTGATAAAAGCGTCTCGCCAGAACAACAACACCAGAACTTTTAATCCCTGGCTTTATGTGTTGCTTTGGACAAAATACTCCTCTCTTCTGGGTGGAGCTGTTCACTTAAAGGAATAGTTCACCCAAAAATGAAAATTAACAGAAAATATACTCACCCTCAGGCTTTCCAAGATTAGGATGAGTTTGTTTCTTCATCAGATTTGGACAAATGTAGCATTGCGTCACTTGCTCACCATTGGAGTGAATGGGTGCCGTCAGAATGAGAGTCCAGACAGCTGATAAAAACATCACAATAATCCACAAGTAATCCACAGCACTCCAGTCCATCAGTTCACATCTGGAGAAGACAAAAGCTGAAACAAACCCAGTGGATTATTGTGACGTTTTTATCAGCTGTTTGGACTCTCATTCTGACGGCACCCATTCACTCCAATGGTGAGCAAGTGCTACATTTCTCCAAATCTGATGAAGAAACAAACTCATCTGGGATGACCTGAGGGCGAACACATTTCCAGCTAATTTTCATTGTTGGTTGAATTACTCCTTTAAAGCACAGAATGAGATCATCTGTAAGAGTGAAACGAGTCTGGTTTGATCAAAATCCTCTGGAAATTACTCTCTTATGGAGTGGTGATAATGCTATAGTATTATCCGTTTACAATACAGATGTTCTTCTGCAGTAATGCTCAGTCAAAGCAAACTGCTCTGATTTATCAGCAGAAGCGGACGGGTGGTGAGGGACTGACTGAAGCTCCTGAGGTGTCAGTGCTGCTCTGAGTCTCATCTGCGAGGCTTGCAGAGGCTTGTAGCTCGTCTGAGGAGATTCCAGCCGCAGGCTCTGTGAACCCACGGCGAGATGACCTGCCTGATCTTTACACACTCCTTTCTGTCTTTATTAGCGCTGCTTGCTTAAACAAGCATTGCTGTTATTGTTGCTCATACTTATCTTTCTCATGCCCGCAAAACATGTGTGTTACGGACATGAATCATATCTAGTGATCAGACTGAGATTTTCACCTGGCCGACAATAAACCTGACAAAGAAATCCAGATGACTGACATTTCCAGACATCCAGAACCTATATTTACACAAATACATTTTTAAATTGGTATATTGTACGTTTTATTGGTACATTATAAAATTAGATCAAAAAGGAACAAATATTTTATTAAATAAGTGACTCGATTTGGTGTTATTTTAGTATCATTGAGATAGTATTGTAATTTTTATTAATACTTTGAATTTGTTTTTATTTTTGTATTTTTCATTTTAATTTTAGTTACACATTTAGTAGTTTTGTATTTTTGTCATTTAAACTCTATTTCTTTTTTAAACTCATTTTATATTATATTTTTCAGTTTTATTATTATTTTTTTATTTTAGTACATCAAATTAACCTAAATGAAAATTAGAAAAGTTTGTCATGACAAATTGTTTTTATGGTTTTACGACTTACAACTCTCTTATGACTTTTAATGTTATTCTCATAATATTACAACTTATTTTTATTTTATTCTCAAAATTGTATTACTTAAATATCATAATGTTGTGATTTTACTCCTGAAACTGTGACTTTTGTACAAAACCTATTTATGCATTTTGTTAATTTGCTCATTTTTGTATTATTTATTTCTTTTTAACAGTGTTTTGAGCTTTCCCTGAGCACTTATTCTCACAACTAATAATGCACATTAAAATTTAAAATTGTACTTAAAAAAAAAAAAAACTTTAAATAACTAAGGGCTCCAAACTCTTTAAAGAAATCTTTTTTTTTTTTTGTAATCATGTATTGCATTTAAAGTGTCACTAAATTTGGCCATGCATAATTTTACTTCTGAAAGTCTCATGAAAGACTCGACAAACATTTGAGCCATTGCTGTTCCACATATGGAGCTGATTTAAGCACAGCTGTTAAGTGGGAACCGTGGATCTCTTATACGCCGATGGCTGAGGGTCACGGGTTCAGACGGTGGACAGATGAAGACGGTTCCCATCCGTGCATGATCTTTACCCCACTGCACGCTTCCGGCATCATGTGATTGCATTCAGTCTGCAATCCATCATATAATAGAGACAAACATAAAGCGCTATATAGCTGTTCAGTGGGCAATTTGAAATCACTTGCATGTGAGAAAGACCTAGAAACATTGAGTAATAAACAAAAATACAGTAGTAGGACGTGGTGTTGTAGTAGTCTGAGACGTCCTTCAGAAGTCATCTGCTCTCATGTCTTTAAGGTGAATGGCCGCTGATCTTTATATGTAGTCTATG